TAGTAATCACAGTTAACAAGTAATGACGTTTACTAAGCTATAAATCTATAATACCTGCTCGAGATCATTTTGAACAAACTTAGCGCATTGGAAAGTTGGTCATCCAGTGAGTCCAATGGTTTGGGGTCTTGGACGCCGCGGGATCAATTCCCAGCATGGTGTGATATTTTAATTAAATTTTCAGTTTTCTTTCCAACACCACTGTATCCCACACCGTAAAAACTAAAAAGAGAAAGATTCCTCCTCCAAAAACTTCTATATAAACTGGATCTTCTAACAACCTTCTAACCGTGTAGGATACCTACCATTCTCATTGAGTGGGCTTGGCATTACATTCTGAGCTCAAACTTGTAGTGGCGATGTGTGTGTTGAAAATTAGTTCAGTGATTTATTGTTTTTATAGAAATCGGTTTGTTGTGGTTTTGGGTAACCAACCCGAAAAAATGGTTACCGATAACTCAGTACCTGTTCTATGAACGGTTCGGTTATGGTTGTGATTTTTGGATAACTGAAATGTCGGTTCACTCCAATCGGTTTGGGACCCAAACCGAACCCAGCCATAGTTATACAGATCAAGGAATTCTTATAGGAACAAGAACACAGCTATATCAAAAAAAAAATCTAAAAAGGGTGCAACTACTGTAAGCACGCTTTCAGGCTAATAAAAAACTTATCCTCCTTTTCTAAACACGATAGAAGTTAGAGCACACCCCATCATGTTTAAAAGGAAAATTGCATAGTTTAAGAAATAATGCTTCCCAAGTTCCCAGTTTCTACCTGATCAAATGGATTTTCCTCCAGTAGGCTTGAGTAAGCCTTTTCGGCCTCCTCCCATAATTCCCTGGCCTCAAGCAACATTGCTTCTAACCTGCCTGAAAATGCCACAACATATCAAGACACTCATCTACTTACCAACACTGTGAGGAAATAGATGCAAGAACCTGAAGGTGTATTTTTATCACATGCACATTTAGACACTCATCTACTTACCAACTCGTTTGCTTCCTGGAAACTTTTTCTTCAAAACTTTAATGTTCTCCTAACAAAGTTCCCATAAACAAACTGCAGTTAATTTCAATAAAGTTAGACAAATAAACTAACTACAGAAAGCAAAACCACTAACTTCAATTTGCAGATCAACATTTTTATGCAAAACTACTGAAGTGGTTTAATTTTACATTTATTCTGAAAGGTCTAGCAAAACTAACATTACTCTTTGCACCACTTTGATGTTGGAATTACTATGGTTAGTGACTAGATAGAGTGCAAGAATTAGTCTGTTTATGATGTGTAAAGGGCATGTGGACAGGCAATGGTGTGGGGAATCCTCTTGGCTGCAAGCAGCCTGTTCCAACTTCTAATATAAATGTCAGTAAAAGTTAAAACAATACTAAAAATAAAAAGATATTTAGTCTCAAGGATTTTCGTATCAAATTTGGGGCCTCCACAATAGGGATATTTCGCGGAAATTTCGATTGATATCGAAGATATTTTAATTCATGGGTGTACCTTACATATCGGTGACTACTGTAATACTGTTAAAGTGTTAATTACTTCCCACTTCAAAATTTTGGACAAGCTTGATGCCCCTCGGATGAATGACACAATAGCAAATTGCAATTCACTTGTTTTTCATAAGAACTTTATATCCAGAAGCTGCAGACCTTTGGGATTTAGGGTCTTAACGATTACATAGTACATACTTTGCTTTTCCAGTAGTAGGCCTTGTATTGGACAATTCTCTTATAAAAAGGAAACATTCCAAGGAATAATAAAATCACAAATGTATTATATATACTGGGAAGATTTGAAATGTCAAGTGTCCCGAGCCTAGGAAGTTCAGGATGTTAACAAAATACTACACTAATATGAAATCATTACTCATGTACATTTGCCTAATCCATTCACTAGACAGCCTCTGACGTTTTCCATTATTAACAGTTCATAATTAATAGTTATTTATTGAGAAATGAGAAAATGCATGATGACTATGACTCTGCTAACATGCTAATGATGCTTGAACATATTCATGGTTATAACGTATAATGCAATTGTTCGAACAGTCACGTTTCATGCATGTATTAGAAAAAGAAAATTATATTACCTTTGCCACATCAAGACATTGGGAGTCCATAGCAGCAATAGCCACCTGCTCATATAATGTCCATTCTGCATCATTTGGAATCAAGGGAAAACCAATTCAAGCTGAAGTTTCAACAACTAAACCAACACAGCATGGATAACAGCCATTGCTTTTGGGAAGTGAAGCTAATACAGAACATGTAAAATACTAGCACGGGACCAAGGGGAAACTAATTTCACACTAAGTAAATACTACAAGTCTTATTGGATGTTACTCCGTATATAACAATACTACAATTGGCAGGGGTGATTCTGAACATGACCAACATGTGTGATAACATACAACCTCAAAAACATTCTAATATTTTCTACTTTCTACTTCTTTTCTATTTTTTCAGCTATGGACTTATGAGTTACGAGTTACAACTTTTCTATTGAATTTATTCAACTTCTATTTCCACATACTTCCTTCGTTCCATAAAAGTTGCAACATTGGAATTTCTGCACTATTCACACACCTTACCTTGACTACGATTTTCTAATAATATATATAATAAAAATATTATGTATAAAATATAATAAATTTGTATTAATGTAAATTTCCAATATATTAACTTTTTTTAATGTTTACTAATACGTAAATAACTATAATTACAGTCAAAGTTGCGCGTTGGCAAACGTGAAAGTCAAACTGTTGCAACTTTTATGGAACGGAGGATAGTATTTTCTCTGCAAGTACTGAGTTTTTATATTTTTGCTCTTCTTTTTGTGTTTTAATTAAACCAAAGTATTAAATCAACAACATGCTACTTTTTGATAACTTTTATGGGATCTAATTCAATTTAAAAAAAAAATACTATTTCATATAGCAATGTTTCATATGCTCATAAACAACATTGATGTTGACATTATATCACTACTTTAGGCTTTATTTTGGCCGTGGGTGCCCTTTTGTATGTGTTTGGCATATTCATATTCATATGAAATGTATTACTATCATTGTATGATGTCGCCTCATGTACAAGAGGCGCGTGTCTATAATGTGTCTCATGTCTCAAGGCGCTTGAGCACGTATGTGCCTCACAATCGTAATAACTGTGGGCGGTGAGCCTAAATACTTTTGACGCCTTGTATTCAATGTTTGACATATTTGACTTGTTAATGTGATTCAAAGTAGACTAGGGGTAAACTTGTTTGTGAATAAAGTTTAATGATGTTTTGGACCTGGGTTTGACTCCTACCTAATCCAATACATGAAAACTTTCATGTTTGTTCAAGGGGGGATTTCTGTTCATGTTTAGATCATGATACATTGAATTTCTGTGGAAAATAAAAAAGTTGAAGAATAATGGAGCAGGTCCAGAATAAAAACTTTCAGATTTCTGTTCACTTTTCAGTATTTTCCTCATTTAGTTGTTAAAAGCAGTAGTGTTTCTTCAAAATTAAGTCAAACCAGAAGTACATAACATCAACCCTCGATCTGTGGATTTATTCAATACCGAGACAATAATATATTGCTCAATAAGTAAGATTGGAAAGATCTGTCACATTCATGCAAGGCTATTGAAAATGGTTTGTGATCTATTAGTGTTATCAGGAGGTTACTTAAAATTGAATGTCAGCCAGCTTGAAATAGTAAACGTACTGCACTCGGAATATATGTAACACGACTAAATGTTTACAGTCCAAACAATCCAGCAATCAATCTCACTTATAAAAATATGTCATGATTGTGACTGAGTGTTCGACATAATCACTACTTAATTTAGGCAGGAATACCTTCAGTGCCAAGAGCAGATCGAGCTTTGTCATCATTAAGGAGGGCGAGACCGTGCTTCAAGACCTTGTCGGATCGGCGGAGCTTGAGCTTCCGGACAAGAGATAGATATTCCCACGCGCCGCCGCCTCCATTGTCCACTTGAACCTCCAAACTGTTCACTCTGTCCTCTTCCGTTTTACTCACCATCTTCGCTTCAGCTGACTCTCACCGTTCGTCTCGTATTCGACCGTCAGCGCTTCTAATTTTTCTACAGTGTTTATAAATCAGAATGAAAAAATGTCATTAATATTTGTTTAACATATTGTTTAAGGGTAAATATTTAAATTACGATAAGAAAAAAAAAGTAAGGCCGTGTTTACTGTTTTCATTTTCTGTTTTCAAGTCTGCAGTTTTTTTTCGTTTTCCAATTTTTTGTTTTCCGAATCAGAAAACATGTTTACCAGAGTGTTTCAATTTTCCATTTCATTTTTTCTAAAAAACGTTGATTTAATATCTACCTCTATATAAAAAGAGGTGGAGAGCCAGTCTATTTTCCTGCCCAAATTGTTGGGTGAAGCCTGTGGGTTGGTTATCTGTTAGGGTCGGGTTGAGTGTTGGGTCGGGTTCACTGGTCCAAGTTACAGATGGAGTGTCAGTTGACATATTATTTCATTAATAAGGCTAAAAATCTCTGAGGTCGGAGGCCTTTTGATAATTCATACCTAAATTGCCAGATTGTATTAAATGCATTGAGCTTTCTCACAAGACCACCAGAACATCCATTAATTTCGGTTGACCTCTGTTTCCATTATTGTTCACAATTCAGAATAGTACTTTAGGGTGGTTGGTAGTTATTCCAAAAACAGATATTTAATTAATGAAAAGTTGATCTTCAGATTGCATGCACGAGAAGCAAGAATCTGAGTTTGACAATACATCCTATTTAAGTTCGAAAGTACACCACTTTTGAGGTAGTTGGGAATTAGAAACAAAAGAAGAAATTCAATTAATGGATTGCAAAAGCTATTCGCAGATTGTGTAGTTATACAATACATTTAAAACTTTGAAAAAAAATTGGGCCTCATTCTTGAGTTTAATTTTCAAATGCTATTGGGCCTCTAAGTTCTCCTATAAATAGGACAATTCCCACAGCCATTCTCACACAACACACTCGCAGCATATTTCCCCAAATTCACAGTACTACCAACTCCAACTACACCTATGGCTGCCTCTAAGAGATCAGAAATGTGGTCTCTCATAAGTGAGATTGACCACACCAAAACCAGTTGGGCCTTAAGAGTTCGGGGGGTTCGGGTACACAAAGTTTCAGCTCATGCAAGGGGAGGCAACACTCTGGAAATGGTGCTGCATGATGAGGAGGTATATTCTCTTCAACTGTATTTTCTTAATACACCCATTTTCGCAGATTGTTTTTGAAAAACTAACTCAGAACAATTTTGTAGGGTACTCGGATTCACGCTGTGGTGAAACGTCCTCAGGTCGCTTTGTTTAGGCCTCAAGATATGGAAGACAATGTTGATGCCATGAAAAATTTCATGGTGGTGGACAATTACCAGCTGTACAAGACCACCTCTCACCGCGGTTTAAAAAGAAATGTTGTTTCAAATCACTATTACAATAGATATTAAAGTAAATAATTAAATAAATATTAAAAGAAAGTACACATTTTGGTATACACAGCATGACTGCAAAGATTAGCTTCAAAAAACAACAACTATTCCTATAGATATATACATGTATATCTATATGGATGATAAGTATGTTTAAAGACCAAGTGTTCATATAGGAATTAGTATGGCAGTGTAGTTTTAAAAAGAAATGTGGTTTTAAATCACTATTACAATATATATTAAATTAAATAATTAAATAAGTATTAAAAGAAAGTACACATTTTAGTGAAAAGATAATGCTACAGTAAAACCAGTACTAAAACCGAGTTTTTAAGATGTATGTATCATAGTTTGAAAATCATATTTAGTTTAATTTTAGTATTGTTTACGAAAAGATAGGATTTCATAATACTTTTATAGATTATTTGTTTAATTTACCTAAATAATAGAATTTCATATATACAATAAGTTTGACAGTTTGGTTTTAAAAACGAATGTGGTTTGAAATCAGTATTATGTTACATATAAAATATAAAATAAGTAATAAATGAAGTAAAGATAGAGGTTAAAACAGAAATCAACCTTGGATCCAGTAATTAAAACGGTAATTTAAGATGTACTGGAGCATAGTTTAAAAAACAGTTTTAAAGTTTTAGTTTTAAAGATGTTGAAAAACACATTTAAGAGGTATTTAAGCATAGTTTGAAAATTTGATTTTGTTTGAAACCCATATGGGTTGAAAAATATTCATCTAAAGTGTTACATGACATATTACATGAAAGTAAATGAAAGTAAAGACTTTGGATAAAAACAGAATCCTACCTTGGAACCAGTATTCGAACAAGGTATTTAAGATGTAGCAGAGCATAGTTTGAAAAACAGATTTTGTTCAAACTCATATTGTTTAAAAAATGATTGTCTAACCTGTTATACCAATAATGACACACAAAGGTATATACACGATAGAATATAGGTATGACAGATTAGGTGTAAAAACTTAGTCTTGATTTATGAAAAATAGCTTTTAAGTATAGGGTTGTAAAAATAAATATTGTATTAAATCAGTATTACATTATATGTTAAATAACTATTAAATGAAAGTAAACACTTGATTAAACCGCAAAGCATCCTTAAAAACACTATTCAAACCGAGTATTTAAGAGGTATGAGAGTATAGTCCGAAAACTGATTTTGTTTGAAATCCATATAGTTTGAAAAATATTGATAAAAAGTGTTACACTAATAGTTAGGAATGAAATAGTTATTTAGATGTTAGATTATATGTGAGAGATATTTTGTAAAAACCAAGCGTTAAATGGATCAACCAAGGTTTAATCTTGGGTTTTAAAAATTAAGAACAAATAAACATCGAAACAAGTACCCAATAGGTACTAAAAACAGTTTGTTGTACAAGTATGAAATACGGATTAGCACTGCATAAATACCTCTCACATTAGTATTTAGCAGTCACTAATTACATTAGTATGATGAATGTGTGACATCATGGTGTTGCTTATCCCATGGTTTGGGATATTAGCTTTCATGTGTCACTTTCATGTGTCTTTATTGTCCAACCATCATGTATGGGTCCTTCAATATTTAAGGATTTATGACTGTATGTATATCACGTAAAAAACAGATCTGTTTGTGATATATATATTTACGCAGGTATTTTATTTGTTAGTCATGTAATTATAAATAAAATACGTATAAAGGTAAATGAAAAAATGTCATACTAATTTAGATCGTTACAGCAAAATGATGTATACAGACAGATATGAAATATAATTTCATCTGCCGAGACAGATCTGTACGAGAAAATGATAGATACAGACAGATAAGTCATTACGTATATTACAAAAAAATACTCAAAAATTAGTCATTGACCACCGGATTAAATAAGTAAACAGTTTGAATATTTCAAATCGGGTAGTTAATAGATAAATTACGGCCAAAGATAGACAAAAAATAGGGATGAGGAGTATGTAGATGATATTTTACACATGAATTTTACACATGAATTCGGAAAAATGTCCGAGAGTGTACCAACGGACGCTAACGCCGATCGATGTACATCGGAAACACACAACGAAGGACCCCGGTCGGTTGGTCACGCCGGTTGGTCAGATTCCGTTCAGAATCCCCATAGAACGACCCCAAAACGAAGATGGTGTGGGTATATACATGAATGAACCGAGAAAGATTCTCGCATTGAAGATGGTAGTTTAGAGTTGTGGAGGGGAGATGTTTTAGAGGGGGAGGTTGATTCTCGCATTGAAGATGGTAGGTTTGTGTTCCGTTCACTGACTCTGGCTTTCTTTATATGAGTGATCATCCTTAGGTCCAAATGGACATTATTATCATGTTGTTAACTAACCATGCAGGTGGAACTAAGGCATAACCATTTCTAGTCTCGTAATATGGTTTGAATTAATATTGATTGCACCTACTTGATTCTCAATTAATGTGCTTTCTTTATATGAGTGATCATACTTTGTCAAGAATATTATTTTAAGCAAAAGTATTTTTCTATGCATGGTCACTCACTATATACGTAACTTGAATTATTTGTTCTTTTCCATGCATGACTTGGCATTCACTAATTAAATATAGTTTAATACTTTATGGAAAGTATCTTTATTTGCTATAATGTGAGTGCATGATTTATAAATGGCAGCATGACCATTATATACGTACTTTTCAATTGAGCTACTTATTTTCTTTCCATGCTTGATAAGACTCCACTCATTAATATGGTTTAATGATTTATGAAAATATTCTTGCTATCTTTATTGATGGAACGTAGCATTTGAATTTGCAAATAAAGGGGTTGTTTTGCTTAGAGTATTAAATAAACATTTTTGCTATATTACTTAGCATTTATGAGATCAATGATTTGCTTTTTGAAATAAATATTTCTTACCATCCCAATTAAATTGCCATCCATGATTGAATTCTTAAATAGTCATTTGTGAATGGGATGTTGACTACTTAATATGATCGTTGCACTTTTGCTAAAATAGGAAAAGAATTTATTTCCTTGCTATACTACTTTGGGCCATTGCATGCTTATGTGTGTAAGCAAATATTTTATTTTCTTGTGCATGATGATATGTTATCCTAATGATCCTGAGTTGATTGGTGTATTAAGTTCAAATAAGAAGGAAAGTGGACCCTTTGTCCCCCTATCTTTTTATTTTGGCTGCAGAGGCTCTGTCTAGGGGATTAAATAAACAAATGGAAAGTGGGCTCATCAAACCCTACTGGATGGGGAAAGTTGGATTTCCTGTGTCTCATCTTGGCTATGCAGATGACATTTTGATATTTCTAAACGGAGAATCAAGGTCCTTAAGGAATTTCTCTGAATTTATTAATGCTTACCAGACAGCCTCAGGCCAAGCTGTTAATTTGCATAAGAGCTCTTTCATTGCTGGTAAATCTGCCAGACTCAGGCTTAAAGGTATGCAGGATATCCTGGGCATGCAATCCACCACCTTGCCTATGAGGCACCTGGGAGTCAAATTACACAAAGGAATTCATAGATACCAACATTGTGACGACATTATTAGACAGTTTGATGCTAAATTGACTCCCTGGAAGTGCAGAAACTTATCTCAGGGTGGTAGACTTATTTTGATTAAACATGTCTTAAATGCTATTCCTTTACATATTCTTGCTGCTGACACAATTCCAAGAAAGGTCATTTCTATTCTTGAAAAGAAAATGAGCAATTTCTTTTGGGGTTCTTCCAATGACAGAAGAAATTACCATTGGTTAGCATGGTCTAAGCTCTGTAAACCTACTGAGGAGGTGGGTCTAGGACTAAGGTCTTTATCTCATTTGGAAAAGGCTTTCTCTATCAAGTTATGGTGGAAATGGAGAACTGGGACAAATTTATGGAATAAATTCATCACTGCTAGATACCTAGAGGGCAGAATATGACTCCTAAAATCACATACTCCCCCATTTGGAGAAGAATATGCTCTATTCACTCATTTGCTCTTTCCAACTGTGATTTTGATCATGAGGGTGATATTTTCTGGCAGCTAGAAGTTGATGGTATTTTTTATTTGAAATCTGCCTATAATGCAATTATTGATGTCAGTCCAAGTATGTTTTCTTTCCAACATGCTTGGCATCCTAAACAACCTTTGAAGGTCAAGCTATTCCAATGGAAGGTTCTCCATGGGATTCTTCCAATAACTGATAGGCTCCTCAGATTTCAACAAGTTTTAAATCCTTCCATTTGTCCATTGTGTAGAAAGCATGATGATTCTCTTGATCATCTTTTATTTAGCTATGAGGTGGTGTATCCTGTTTGGGTTTATTTCATAGGAATTCTGGGTGTTCCTCGACTTAAGCCTGATTCTTCTGTTAGACAAGTATATATTTCTTGGTGGCTTAAGGCTGGTTCTAAAACAATGATGGATATTTTTAAGCACAATATGCCTGGCATTATAAGTTAGTTTGTGTGGACCAATTACACAGAGATCATTTGGGGGAAACAGGATTTCAGGCCTTCTACGAGCAATATCATAGGCCAAATAAAATGTTTCACTCAGGTTTGGACATCAAGCTTCTCCACAATTAAAGTTCGTTCCGTAGAAGCAGTTTTATTTGAGGAAAAATTACTTCCTAGAGACTTTAAACCTACTGGTAATCAAATCAAAGCAATCAAATGGCACAAACCCAAAACCCATTTCAAGCTAAATGTGGATGCTTCGTATTTACCTCATAAATCTGGAGGCGGTGCGATTCTTAGGAATCCAAGCGGCGAAATGATTGTAGCTGTCTCCTTCCCCGTCGAAGCTTCCTCGAGCTTAGAAGCGGAGGTTATGGCGGTAGTTCAGGCGGTTCGCTGGGCAGTTGAAGCTGGATTCTCCGATTTTGAGATAGAGTCTGATGCTGCGAACGTTGTGTCGATGTTGTCTCAGGTAAGAAGTGGATGATGGAAGGTAATCTTTCAGGAAATGAGGCTATGTGAAATTAGAAAGGGGATTCGGTTCAGACATGTTTTACGCGAAGGAAACTGGGTGGCCCACTATTTGGCTAAATCATCTATGGCACAGGCCCAATCTTTTCATCATCCTAAAGAACTCCCTGTTTTGGCCCGTAATGCTTATTATCGTGATTTATTTGGTTTTCCCTCTTTTCGATGTTGTTATTAAGTATTGCTTTCTGTAAGAGAGGTTTCGGTCTGGTCCCCCTCTGTTTTGTACTCGGATTTGTTCTTAATAAAATACTGGCAAATGACTCCCGGCATTTGCCCCACTGATTTTGGTGGTTGACCTTCCGGGATAAAATAAATAAATAAATAAATAAATAAATAAATAAATAAATAAATAAATAAATAAATAAATAAATAAATAAATAAATAAATAAATAAATAAATAAATAAATAAATAAATAAATAAATAAATAAATAAATAAATAAATAAATAGGAACCACATAGTAGGAAAGCTTTTCAAAATACAACAAGGTAAGAATCACCTGTACATGGAAAGCTCCAACGGACTCATCCCAAGGCAACCTATATAATCTAAGCAGCCAAAGAGAAAAAGGTGTGTGCCTGACCGAGAGAATATCAAGGAGAATTACTCAAGAAAAAATACTAAGTCCAAGGCGCCTGAAACTGCTCATACGGAGTTCTAGATATAGTTTCTTCTTCCCTTCTTATATTGTAATAGGATTTTTGAGGAAGCTTCCTCGGGTTGGTTTGTGTGTTGTGAGAGCTTTGTTGTAAAGCTGAGAGGCTCTTTACCCGCAAGGTAGAGAAGCATAACTCTTCCTAGAGAGGATAGAGTTGGGGTGGCTCAAGTGTAGACTAGGAGAGTTTCCCTTGTAATCATTCAAGGGCTTTTTAGTGAAGTTGTCAAAATTCCTCCGAGGGAGGTCGAGGTTTTTTAATCCCTTTGAGCCAAGGGATTTTTCCTCGTTAAATCCCTGTGCACTTTACTATTTCCCAATTCCCTTTACCCCACACTAGAACTTGCCAAAAAACTGCCACAGTTCCTTCTTGAAGTCGTCCCACGTGTCAATCCGTGCAATGCCCCGCTCTATATTCGCATGCCTCCTTCGCCACCATAGCATTGCCGTATCCACCAAATAAGATGTGGTCGTCTTGATCTTCGTCGTCTCGTCCTCAAGGTTAAGGTTGTCGAAGTATTGTTTCATTTGCCACAGGTAGTTCTCCACCTCCTTAGCATCTCGGACTCCATGGAACTTTGAAGGCTTAGGGTAATCAATCTTAGGCGTGTTGGTGAGGTTGATGGTCGCCCCACCACTAGCAGCGGCCTTCTTGCACAAGGCCAACTCTTCACGCACACCCTCAAGACTAACTTGTAAAGATTGGATAGCCATTACCTTCTCCTCT